TTCACGGCAGGATGGCCACTCTCAAGAGGACTTTCCCTCCCCTCGCAATGACAAGCCTTAATGGAATCTGGCCTGAGGAGTGTCTGGGCTGTGTGCAGGGCTGGTGTCAGAGCAAGTGCAAGCTGTTCCCCCGAAGCTCAGCCTTTACAACATAGTACAACTCAAACATTCCTTCAAGGCACCGCCCACCTTTTCCAGTGGGAATCTACTGAAATGATTCTCTTGGAAGCAGTGTGGAGGAATGCGGGAAGGGTGTTAAGTAGGTGTTTTCAGAGGAGATAGTGGATGGGTGAGTGGGTGGAGACAAAAGGGGAAAATGACAAGTAAAGATGGAAAAAATAACCACTACTGCCACCAAAATATTCTGCTCAAGGAATGAGGGAGTACACCTTACAGCTGTTAGCACTGGTCAGCATATTTTGCATATTTACATACACCAGGTATTTCCAAACAGCCCTGTGTTTGTTTTAAAATCCCACATAGAGATGTCTGGTAAAGCTGTCACTGTGAAAGAGTTATTTTCTTGGTGATGTTTGCAAAACTGCTTTCAAAATTCTGTATATACAACGTAAGAGACAGAAGAGTCACTGTCATTACCCACGTCATAGAGAAATCTGGACTAGTCCATTTACCCATGAGACAACATTCAGAGTGAAACACCCACATTCTAAGGCAAAAAAAAACACCTGGTTGGTTGAAGCCAATTTTTTTATTATTACTTTTGGTTCAATACAAAACGAAAGACAAAACATCACCCAGTGATCCTGGTTAGTCCTGAACCCACCAAAGTGTGATTTTCTTAGTCACTGCTGACTCTCATCTTTGATTTAGGAGTTGATTTTTTTTTATGAAAAATGCTAACACTGGATGGATTTCTCATATAGCCATTTTCTTTTGGAAACATAAAACTCCACAAAACCACACATAGCCCATTTGAAAAAGATTAGGGAACTTCCAGCAGAAGGAATGGGGTAGTTGAAAGCTATATTTTCCTTTTAGCAAGATCCACAAGAAAAGGATAGAGTGTTGTGCTTAAAGGGGAACAGATTTTGTATTTTTTGGCAAGATATTAAATCCTCTGTTGCTATATTTGGCTTCCTGCAAATAGCCTTTAGGACAAGTGCAAAGCAAAGATCAATGCTGGTGTTCTTCATTCAGCCACAGCCAAACTTGGTATGGAAAGTAAAAGAGTTGGGCTTAAGTGTTGTTTCTAAGAGATTCTAGTTCATTTATTGATCAACAGCATTCTAGAGTCTAGGTACCTACTTTACACATTAAATGTATCAAAACATGTTTGCTTTCCATAATAGTTTTTCCCCTGCTTAACTGATAACAGATGTAAGGATTCAATCTGGACAGAAATGTAAAAGCTTTACCAACGTAGTCATATATGGATATTTAGTCAAATGTGTATAAGCAGGTCAAATGAGATGCTTGGAGACTTAGGACATCACACGATGGGCATATATTCCCAAAAAAGGAAGCAAAACAATTAAATGGTAGTTGATTGTCCCCAGAGAAAACACACTTCAGCTAGGAAGAATCTGTACCAGATGTCGTGCTCACCACCCCCCTGAGTGCCTGTCTGACATAAAGACAACATAACCCTTTGGATTCGAAGACACTGTAATAACCACATAAATGTTTGAAATAGCAACAAGAATTTCCTTTTTATGCAATTATTTAAGTGAATGTAGATGAATCCTACACAGATGACCATTGCAAACATGGAACACGCCTTGCGAGTTCCAGTGATATATTAAACCCTCTTAGATTAAAAGGCTGATAAAAATTAACTGAAATCTGATAGTAATTGTGGTAGGTTAAATAATGCCCACTCAAAATGTTCACTTCCTAATCCCCAGAACCTGTGAATATGTTACCTTACATTTAAGAACTTTTTTAAAATTAAGAACCTTGAGATGGAGAGATTATCCAATGTAATTACAAAGGTCCTTAAAACTTGTAAAAGAGAGGCAAAAGAGAGGGTCAGAGTGATCCCATGTGAGAAGGACTTGCCCAGCTGTTGTTGGCTTTGAAGATGGAGGAAGGAGGCCATTAGCCAAGGACTTTAGAAGCTGGAAACACCAAAGGAACAGATTCTCCCTTATATCCAGAAAGAATGCAGCTGACAGTTTGATTATAGCCCACCAAGACTGGTGCTGGATATTTGATTTATAGAGTCATAAGATCGTAAATTTGTGTTGTTTTTAGCCATTAAGATTGTGGTAACTTTTTACAGCAACATAGAAAACTCATTACACTTGTCTGGTCTAAATATGGCAGGCAGTTGAGAAGGCTGTGCCACATTATTTCACCTGTGATGATGAAGGTCTACTAATCGAAATGCTAATTTCCAGGCTTTGCATTTTCACACTACAAATTCATTTAATAAGAAAATAGAAGGCCCCTGTAGAGAAACTCCAGCTTCCTTTTAAAATAAGGTCTTGGACTTCTCCTTTCCAGATACACTTCTTCAATCTCAATGAATTGTCAGGAAAGTTTTGTTTCTTCTTCCACACTACTTACAGAAGCTCCATATCAACAAATGTAAAAGCAAAACAACGAAGTACACCTCTCCCAAAGAGTTAATGGATAACTTCAGAAGCATTGTGTTAAAAAAAATTCACAAGCCTCCTGCTGTTATGTAATTGATATAGCCCATTTCACTTGCTCTTCTATTATAAACACTTGTTTTGTAACCATACAATCCTCACTATAACATATAAATCCCTTGGCTGTAGAAATTAACTTCATTAAAAAAAAACTACGGTGGTTTAATTTCTAAAGATATTTGTAATTTGTTTAATTGAATAAGAAGAAAAGAGACAGCTTTAGTTAATTGTCAAGAAATGCAGACGAAACCAAATTGCTACATTAAAATATAAACATTAAGTTCACATTAAGTTATTTATTGAAAAAATTGAAGATGACATTTGTTTTTATTACAAAGTCCTCCATCATCTCATATCATCAACATATAGTTATGAGACCTGCATTTGAAGACTGAATAGAAATACAAAAATGTCTCTTCCTCCAACCCCATGAAAAACAACAACAAAAAATATGATTTTATAATTAGCTTGTGAAGCGAAAAGTTTTATGAATTACATATATTTTGTAAATTAAGAATGACAACAGAGCTAAGATTAGTTAATTTCTCTTTCTGGACATGTAAAATGAAGATAGCATAAAATTGCCCACAAAACTAATAAATCGGGAATTTTTTTGTATTTCAGGGTTGTAAGATAACATTTATATTACAAGTTTTCAGTTCACTTAATCAAGTGACAAATATAAACTTCACCATACTATGAATTTTTTGTTTATAAAAGCTTTCACCTTATCTAGACTTATATGATGAAAGCAAATTGAATCTATGTTTTCCCTTTCAATATATGCACTTTAAAATACAAAGAATTCACATGAAGACCCTTCCCCATATTGCATATCCAGAAAAATGTATGGAATAGTAATTTTAAATCAGATACAATATCCAAGATTGTAAATAGTCAAGAAATTAAATCAAGTGTGTAAATAATCATTAATTTTTGCCCTAGCCACAGCCTAGGAAAAAATGTACACCTCTATCAGTATCTCTTACCAGTAAGAGATATCATTAGAAAACTTCACATCTTATGCATATACCAAAATAACTAATTAAAGAATCTTGTATTCTAAAAGAGTTATTCTTAGGGCAAAATTTAGTAGTCCAGAAATTGTTAACAAGGAAGCTAATCGATGATGATGCAGCATTTTCTAGGTGTCATTGTTTATTTACACAAAAGAATTGGTAAATTACACTTAACTCAATTATCATTTCTTGAAACTTTAAAAGAAGATTTAGATAATTGTATTGGATCAAATTAATTGGTATTTTCGAGAGAACATTAGTTTGATCAATTATCTGAAACTATAAAAATATTTTTCAAACAGACAAGCACAATGGACAATAAAAGGGATAAGAAAATTATGATATTTTAATTATAATGACTATTTCTATACTTTGGAAAGTGTATAGAGGGAAATTCCCAGCGAGCACTAAAAGAAAAAAACCTACTGAAAATTCTGAAAGTCTGTTCTGTGCCCAATCTCCATGACCAAGTTACCAATTAATTAACATTTTGAAGCTATTAGAACTGAGGCTCCCTTGCAGGCCTCACCCATTCCCCACTCTCCATTTGTGTGTAGTTTACATATCCTTCTTCAACATACATTATTTTTTTTTATTTTATTGAAGTATAGTTGATTTACAATGTTGTGTTAATTTCTGTGGTTCAGTGGTACAGCAAAGTGACTCAGTTATACATATATATATTCTTTTTCATGTTCTTTTCCATTATGGTTTATCACAGGATATTGAATATAGTTCCCTGTGCTATACAGTAGGACCTTGTTTTTTATCCACTCTATATATACTAGTTTGCATCTGCTAATCCCAAACTTCCAATCCTTCCTCCTCCCACCCCACCTCTCCCTCAGCAACCACAACTCTGTTCTCTATGTCTGTGAGTCTGTTTCTTCAACATATATTATTAAACTAAATTTTTACCCTGATTTTTCTAAAATGACTTAAATAATAGTTTTAATGCTTAATAATAGATTTAAAGGATTCTAGGGCTATGTTTTTAGAGAATACATTTTAATTTCTCTCTCAAACCACCTTAAATTTTTTGAAAGATATGTCTTTTATCCTGAAGGAGGGAAAAAAAAAAACACAACTGAGTCCTTAGGGTCCTGTACATTAAAATTGGCAGGCTGATTTCAGTCTTGGTCTCATAGTTTCAGCTTTTCTGCTGTCCTGTCTGCTGTGAAGATGCTCAATCACAGGAATTTTAACAGCCATCGATACCCCTTTGTAACCACAATGGCTCAAGTGAACTCTTTCCATCTTCAATAACTGACACAGTGTCAACATCTGCTTCCAATGAAGTTGTTTCTTTTTTTCTCAAGTAGAATAAATCTGCTGACTGAGATCATAAAGGGTTGGGTTTTTTTTCCCTCCTCTTTTCATGCAGAACATTTTTTCCACCATATTTTGCAATTTTTTCTCCAAGTTAAAAAAAAATGGGATAACTTCAAAAGAGATGTTTTTATTCTAGGTGCTAAGGAAGCCCAAAATATAATGAAAAAATTAAAACTTTGGTGATTTCATGAAACTGTCACTTTAATTTTGGGGACAATAATACACAGGGTCCTGGATGAATAAAAGTTTGGAACATGTAAGAAAACTCAAAGTTGGGTCTACATACCACTAAAAGGTTAATTTATTTTCCTTCATAAACAGCACACTAAAATAGAGATAATGTAGAAATTTATGTTTTATCTTCAACATCTAGTAGAAGGCAAAGATTCTCTTGCAACAATTTCTTACAGAAAAGCACAGTCATAACTATTTGATTGCTACAGAAATGGGTGTGGGAAGTAAACAGAAGTGATGTTTGGGAGCTCAATTTTATGATTTACTTACTCAGCTGATAGGTATTTGTGGTATCTGTCATTTATTGAATGTCTACTATGAGCCAGATGATTGAGTATATATATACGATTTCCAGCCTGTCAGTTAGGTATTATTATCCCACTTTACTCATGAGATAAATAAATGAAACACCAAACACACATCTAATTATGGCTAAACCAGAATTCAGAAAATGACCTAATGTCCAAGCCAATGTTGTTGGTTTTTTTTTTTTCATTAATTGTGCTTCTGCTTCTCTATTTATCCTCTAGTCAAACTGTAACATAAATACTAGCCTTTTCTACCTCTTAGTACCATTGCCCCATTGACTTAATTTGGCAAACATTACATAACCAAGGGGCACTCAGTAAGGGATAGAATGCAGTTTCTAAAAATATAGTTTCTGATTGCCATTTGTATAATGAATAACGAGCTCCTCAAGGGCACAGTTTATTCCAGTGCCTAGAATTTTTTTTAAAAAAAGGTTTTTACAACGTTGAAGAAATTAATTTCTCAATTATTTGGAAACCACTTGTTATCATTTGCAAAATGTAGAGCAATCCCGGCCATTTTTGCTTAAAATAGTAATGTAAATAACTCTAAGAGGAAAGAGAGAGGAAAAAAGCTAAAGGGGAAAGTTAGGAGGGGACGGTTAACCTTCTTAAGATGAAGCATTGATTTTTACCTTCAGAGGTGCTTTTCAAATAAACAGTGAAAAACCAAATAACCTGTAAAGATCTACCTAATCACTATTTTGTTGTTTCTTATTTCATGATAGTTTAGTGGTTGAAGCATAGATTAGATGTCAAATCAATGAGATGATTTTCTAGGATCTAGCTCACAGATCTTTAGAAAGCTTGAATAAAGCCTAATTTATAAAATAACCAAAGGTGGAGTGGTTGCAAATGAAATTGGGGAGGGAGATGTTAGCCCTCAATAAAGCAGTCTGGAAGCCTCCAAAATTAACAGTATCATTTTGGTGCGAGAAAACCAACCCAGAGAGTGACAGCATTTTAAACTTTACTCAGAATCATACTAAATTACAACTCATCCTCTTTTATGACTTCGGTGGTAATAGTAATATGATTGTAGCAATGGGATGTGAGACAATTACAGAGACAGGCACTCATCTTTTTTGACTCACATTTTGATCCACTCCTTGTATAGGCAAGGATCCAGTCCCTGCGATGTGCCAAGCAACACCTGGGCCTGTTCTCAATGGGGGATCTCACTCACAAATCTCTCCTGTGTACAGCAGAATTCAGATCCCCAACTTTTCTTGGGTCCTCTGAGCCAAGGAATGTTTTATCAGATAGTTACCAGGAGTGACACAGGGCAAAGTGTCACCCTAAATTCAGGGTGAAGCTATCTAATTGTCAGCTCTCTTGCCTTACATTCAATTCAGTGGAGAGTAAGGAAACGGGCAGAAAGTCAATACGTTTCTTCTCATAATTGGGAAAATCCAATTGAATGATCTGAATGAGTTGGAGTACAAAACTGCTCTAAAAGAAACTGCAAAGGAAGTTAACAGGTTCCAAGGGAAGAGGAGGAAAATAAATATCCCCAGTGAGTCATCCCATGGGAGCTACTGAGCACTGGTCTTTGAGAATTCAGGAGGACACAAAGTAAAACAAATTTTATAGAATCATTCAACCTTGTGCTACACAGATTTAGGCAAATTACAAATAATTGTATCAAATCAAATTGTAGATCAAAATGTAGATAATTTAACCAAGCCACTCCCTAGAAATCTAAGTTCATGTCATTAGTAAGTGGAAGATTCCTTATGTTTGGACCTCACATTAGATTAAATGTGTATACTGTGTTAAGAGTAGTCTGGTTAAGAAGCAATATAGTGATGAAAATACAAGAGAGTGTATAGATTCATAACTGATAAGATGCACCAGGAAAGAAGATTATGGCATAAAAATAGAGTTAAGGGAAATATTTGAAAATTATCTGTGAGAACTCTGCCTAGCTAAGCAGAGACTATGTTGCTCTTATATCTAAAATGTTCACACATATGAGATACACTATTTAAGATGGAAAATGTATTTCACTAAACATTTAATTTCACATGGGTGAAGACAGAGATGGGAAAAATTGAGAAACATTTTTAACAAACTAAAACTTCTATATAATACTACCTTTTTGATATGAGCCATCTCTGGAAGCAAATGAAAGAATGGACTTTACATTGAAAGTCCTTAAAATACCAATAACGGCTACTTTTATAAACCTAATCTTTTCCTAATAGCATTTTAATGATAATCCCAACTTTTTCTTATTTAGCTCCTGAGGGCCATGTCAAGTTGAATCCTGAGTCCTCAGTAATAAATTTCAGGTAAGTTGTCAATTTATTAACCTAATTTCAGTAATTGTAGTATAAATCCCAATTTAAATTTATCTTGCCCCCATTTTTTTCTTAAAAAGAACTAAATCAACTAAAACCAGAGTTAAACAGACAAAAAAGACGCAAAAACTGATTTAAAATATTACATATGCAATACATTATTTTTCAATTTAAAATGATGGGTAACACTCTCAGAAACAGCCATTGAATTAAAGGCTTTGTGATGTGTCTAGTACCTTCCCAAATATTATCCCTTCAAACTATCTTCAGGAAAAAAAAAATTCACTTAAAATATGGCAAAAAATTGCCATGAATGAATAATTATAAACAAGAAAAATAAGTCACTGGCACTCAAAGGTAGCATGATTAATTTTTTTTTTCCAGTAGTTGGATAGAAATTCTGGTTCCATTTTTCAAAGTCAGATGGACTAGAAGGATAATTGTATACTCTAGGCAAACTCTCCATCTGATTGAAAGTTTATGCCAACCTTCTTCTTAGTCAACCTCCAAGCAGTCTTTGGGAGAAATCAAAGTAATGAAATAGCCTTTCTTTAGTGTGATCATTAAAAAACTTCCTTTTCAAGCTTTACATATAACTCAGAGCTAAGTGAGCTAGCATGGAATTAAATCTTCACTGAGATTGAATGTAAAATAATACCATATTGGCTTGGCTATGGTGCTACTTTTGTAAAAAGGAGAAACTATCAAACATCTGAGGTAAGCTAGAAAGCACAGAGCGCATCACAGACATCTTAAAGCCAAGCATTTTAAACATTTTTGCCAGTGCTTCTCTGAGAGCAAGTTCTTTAAACAGAACTTAACAACTGTTACAATATTAAAAAAAACCCACATCCCTCAAAAATAGCCCATCAATGCTAAATCAAACTTTCTGTATTTTTACAAAAATAGATGCACATAGAGCTACAAAATTGTATTCCTGAAAGAATGATCATTTTCTTTGTGGTTCATCTTTTCCTGACAAGGTGGTTGGTTCAAAAAAAAAAAAAAAAAAAAACTCAAAAAAAGTGTTGAACTGAAACAAAAATTAAACCATGTATTGTTAAAAGCAAGACAAAAAATAAAAGAGAGTTGCACAGTTGGCAAAGGCTCAGATGAGGGAAAAAATAAACAAAAATGCTTTTCTTCAATGTCTATGACCCACTCTGCTTTCTCAAGAAAAGGCTCCAAACCAAAGTCAGCTGGATAACACTTCCTCTTTTCCTTCCATGTCTACTGTGTCCCACTGCAGAATGACAAACCCTGGCAGCATCTTTTCCCAGTGGGCCCATGGATTCACGCTTCAATCTAACTTGCTAATACTGTGTGTTTCAGTACCATGGTGAGTCCTTACTCTTGTCTTGATGCTGTAGACCTAGAAAAGGTGACAATGAGAAATAGAAAAGAATCAATATATGTAGCACTCAAAAATGGGCAAAATCTACATATAGAAACCAAAAAGACAATTGAGCTCACAATGTACAAACAGTCAACCAACACAGTAGGTGACAAAAAAACTCTAGACTAGAGCAGTGCTATCTGCATGGTACACATTCTTTACTATGGTTTTATCTTACTAGAGTAGGTGTGAATAATAAATAAAATAATATAAATCAAGATTTCTTCCTTCTAATCCCAAAAGGAACTGATATGGGGGAAAATGACAGAACTAGTCTTTGGGCATTTAGGCAACGCTTCCGTTCATACTTTTCAGCAACCATCAAATGACACTTTTGGACTAAGGTAGTGACTAAATTTACTTACTTTTATTGCCTTTTCTTTCAGAGACTACTTAAGATGGCTTATAAAAATCCATATCTCAAAGCCAGAAAATGAAATTTACAGGTAAGTTTAAAAATAGTAGTACAGGGCTTCCCTGGTGGCGCAGTGGTTGAGAGACTATGAGCTACTGAACACATTTTATTTTATTTAAAAATAAAATAAAAAAAATAGTAGTACAAAAGAAAAATATGTGAACATGTATGAATTCCAACTCAAAGCTAGAATGATTAGGACGAAGTATATCAAAGAGGAAACAGAATATATGACTGATTTGGTTCTAATGTAGTCAATTGACTAATTTCTGATGCGGGCAATTAGCACAGCATCTTCAGCTAACACTCACTTGAATCACTTTATTTTTGTCCTGAGGCATAACTGTTTGGAAGAGTGAAGACTCCAAATAATGGTTGTTCTTCAGTTATTTAAAACCAAATACCAAAACATGAAGAGAAGGCTATTAAATAAGTGAGTAGAAATGCAGTGTGACTGCTGTTATGTGGGTGCTAGGATCCCAGGCTGTCTTCTTGATTTTTTTTTTTTTTTTTTTTTTTTTGCGGTACGCGGGCCTCTCACTGTTGTGGCCTCTCCCGTTCAGGAGCACAGGCTCCGGACGCGCAGGCTCAGTGGCCATGGCTCAGGAGCCCAGCCTCTCCGCGGCATGTGGGATCTTCCCGGACCGGGGCATGCACCTGTATCCCCTGCGTCGGCAGGCGGACTCTCAACCACTGCGCCACCAGGGAAGCCCTGTCTTCTTGATTTTTAATCTAAATCTGTTTGAAGTCTGGGCTGGATGTCAGAAATTGAATGGTTAAATGAGCCAGTATGGTTTTCAATGTAATTGTCACTAAAACAGCTATAGTGATTTCATTGCTTGTCCTTCAACTTGTTAAAGAATTTTATAAAACAATGTGTGTCATTATAAAAGATACAATTAGTCAGTCATTGATAGGAGACATTAATACAATCTACAAAACAGATTACATAAATGGAGGAAGAACAAATAAAAGGAGTCAGAGAAGCACCTCATAGAGCCACAAGACACAATCTCTGGTTTATAGCATTTGTATCCTGGGAAAAAGCAGCACTTCTAGAATGCCAAAAGATTAGCTCCATCTTAAGTTTTTTTTCATGTATACCAGCATTATGTTTAGATTCAGAGTCAATAGTTTTCCTTTCCCTTTTCAAAAGAAGAAGAGAAGGATAAAGAGAAGCAGGAAAAAGAAATAAAAGGATCTGGGATGTACCAATTCACTCTAAGTTTGCTTTATTCATATAATAATTTTGTGGTCAGAATAATTTGCAACCTGACAAAGTCTCCGTTGGGTGACTTTTATAATCTAAACCACCTTAACTGACAATCTGCTGACTGCATGAATATTTTTTTCATTATTAAAATGTCTCATCTTCTGTATGACTCAGTATTTTCCACACTTGAAGACTACATCAATCTATAGAATGTCAGCACTGCAAGTCATGAATAGTGTTGGAATTATCAAGTGGTTTGAGTGTCTTTTTTTCTTCTTAAATAAAAGCAATCCTCAGTTTGCCTTGCAAAGACAGATGACTCCGTCAAAAGCACGTTAGCCTTTTCCTGTGGACAAGGATTACATTACTTAACAGACCCCTAAATATTCTAACCAGAATAACTGGTTGGAATAACTTTCATTATAACTTCGTCTCTTCAGTTGTTCTGTTTCTAAAGCTTTGCATTACTCCAAAGCAAATCTTAAAAAAATCAATTCATCTACGCCCTGAAACATATTAAATAGCTAATGTTGTCCTTTTGGCTTAGCTTCTTCTTAGTGATGGGACATAAATAAAATTTTTACTTTGATTACTAGGTATCTATACCTGTAAGTTTCAAAATAGGTATAAGTAAAGCACAAGAAAATGAACAACCACAGGCAAAAGACCCTACTACTAGTAAGTTGTAACAGGAAAGCAGGACTATGATCTTTCCTGTTAAACACTTGTTGAAGGAAGATCAGGATATTTAAGGATCAGCCAGTACACTTAGTTTTCCAAGTAAGGGTGAAAGGGGACAAAGTCCTTGATCCTTATGTGGATCCTTATCCTTGATCCTTATCCTATCCTTGATCCTTATCCTATCCTTGATCCTTATAAGGATCCCATGATCCTTATGTGGTCTATACATATCTTTAATCCATGATCCTTACATGATCTACAGTTACTTGGGGTTTCCCCAAATTTTCTTACCAGAACACAAAATCAACTCTGCTATTATGTTGTTCCTATTCAGGCTTTTTGTTGCCTTCTCAATTCCTCAAATCAAACCTATATGAAATTAGTTTATAACACATTCTGAAATCTGCCCACTGGCTAGCTGAAATCACCCGTGTTTTTCTCTTGATGTTAGTAACTCAGTTTTAGTTTTATTGTTTCGTCTGTGAGATTTTCCGTGAAAGGAAAATAAACATCATAACAATAATGTCAGCAAACACTTTCTTAGGGATGAATATGCCAGACGTTGTGCTGCTTTATGTGAAATATCTCATTTAATGCTTCCAGCTATGCTATATATATATATATATATATATATGTGTGTGTATATATATATATATATACATATATATATATATATATCCATTTTACAAATGAGAAAACTGAGAGTAAGAGAGGTTATGGTAACTATTAAGTGGTAGAGCCAGGACTGAAAATAGGTGGTCTGATATCGGAGTCAATGGTCTTAACCACAATGTATATGGCTCCCCCTATGTGGACTATATTGTCTGTAGGCTGTGACACTAGCCTATACTGCAACTCCCTGAGTCAAAGTCCTTTCATTAAATTAATTTGAAGAAAAGTCAATACATTTTTCTTAACACATTTATTGGAGTATACTTGCTTTACAATGGTGTGTTAATTTCTGCTTTATTCCGTTTTGCACTGTTTAGAAACACCCTGATTTAACAGAACTGATACCAGTGTTAACAAAATAGCTCTCCTACTGTGTTTTTTTAAACTATACATTTGAAAAGCTTTTCCCAAGACACAGCAAATGATTACAGAGTAGTTTGTTATACCTCAGATGAAGACTACCCCAATCGTGTAATGGACATGTTTTATTAACTGATGTGTTCTTTTGATATGTATCTTTAATATAACCACTCCTCCCTGCCCCCCAAAGACCTCACCAGTGTGAACACTGAAGACATAGGGTGGCCATTTGACTCATGAGGTGGTTGTCAGAAATGGGACCAAAGAACAAAGACATCACATTGTTGGCTTCAGAGTCTGAGTTTGGGATGGAATTAGGAGAAAAGCCTGAAAGGAAATGCAAGCCCACAGACCCAGTTCCTCCCTTCAGTTCCACCACCACCACCACCTGACCACCAAAAGAAAAGGGAAAAAAAAACCAGACCCAGGAATAGAACAAAGGAAGTACGAACATAAGAAAGAAATATAGAATAATTAGTAGCAGGAGAGAAGTCTTGGTCACAGAAGATCATAATAGGATTTCCCTTTAAAATTTGAAGAATCTGACTATATATCAAGGTATCATAATTCATTTTCTAGCTGAGATTTTTGAGAGGCTGTTGCTTCACAGATTCATCTCTTGCAAAAGGCTCTGGGAATAAGGAAGTAGAGATGGCAACAGGGTGTGTCTAAGCACAGAAAGCCTAGAAACTTCCCCCTCCCTAGTTTCCTTCAACTCCAACGTGTCTGATGAAAAGATCTTAAAGTTCCCATGGGCCCCTGCAACAATGATACAGAAGTTAGTTCAGAGAGATTCCTGGCAGGTCTGCTATTACATTCCATAGTAGTGGGTACCCCATGGCAGAAGCTGTGGGTATCCCATGGCAGAAGATGTGGGTATCCCATGGCAGAAGATGTGGGTACCCCATGGCAGAAGCTGTGGGTATCCCATGGCAGAAGATGTGGGTACCCCATGGCAGAAGATGTGGGTACCCCATGGCAGAAGAAATGGCACGAGCCACCCCAGTGAGCACCTTGGAGGGATGGTCACAAATATTAGGAAGCTGAACTCGAAGTAATTAGTCATTGTCTGGGGAGCACTGTATGGAGAATGCACAGAGAAACAGTGTGGGGAGGGGATAAGTCTGCAAACAAAGGCCAAGATAGGAATGAAATGACAAGGCCAAGAGCAGAGAGCAACCTCTTAATCAACAACGTTCACAATGTGACAAACAATGTGATGCAATGTGAAGCAATCCCTAGGGAGAGCATGAGGGAAGCATCTGAGAAGAGGTTTCAACTCTAAGTGGGACAGTGTTTTAAAAAACTGAGCAATGAAGATATCGATGAGCTGGACCATGAATACTCAGAATTGATGAAATTACTGTATAGCACAGGGAACTATATTCAGTATCCTGTGATAAACCATAATGGAAAAGAATATGAGAAAGAATGTGTATATATATATATATATATATATATATATATATATATATGTATAACTGAATCATTTTGCTGTACAGAAGAAATTAACACAACATTGTAAATCAGCTATACTTGAATAAAGTAAATTTAAAAAAAAGTATTGATGAAGTTAAATTTTCTTTTATGGGGCAGAAATAAATAAGTTGGTTTACTGAAAATGTTACACTCCAG